CGTCACCCCTAGTGTACGATATGGAGCCCCTGTTGACTTCAAGGGTTCCCCGGATGACTTTATAGACCTGTCTTTCCTAACGTCGTGTTTACCAAATACACGTCCACTTTATGGATCGATGTAGGCTTGGTGACAGGTTGGGTACCATACCGTTTGGTGGCGTTGTATGTGCATCGTGACGGGCGACTTCTAAATTTTAAAAAAGGTTTAAGACCGAATTGTATGTGCACGTTAGCGCTACGTAGGATGGCCGGCATCGACTAGACCGCCACGTCAGCAATTTCAGGCCAAAATTAGCCTAAAGGACTAAATTAGCAATTCGTTCAAAGTTTTAGGACTAAATTGGCACGATCGAAAGGTTTAGAACTGAATTGGCAATTTTTTAAAAAGTTTAGGATCGAATTGGCAAAATTGAAATGTTTAGAATTGAATTGACCGTCGTACAATAGGTTTAGGACTTTTTGGACAATTTTCCCCAAGTAGAGGTAGGAAATGGGTCAAGAGCCCGTTTATTAACATATATATAATGATTGTGGGTTATTAATGGATTGACTTTAATTTAAGAGCAGACTTAATTGGGTCATTAATGGGTCGGCCTATTAACTTAATGGGTATTAAATGGTCACAAATGGGTTACCCAACAAGCTTAAGTGAATAATAAAAATGTTATTTTTGTTGTAAAATATTGCGTTGCAAGTATATAATAGAGATTAAGTAGAGAATGCAGATAAACACCAAAGATATATATTTTCTCTTTTCATTATGTTCTCATTTCTTACCCAATGACCAAAACTAAATTCCTATTTATAAGAAAATAAGAATGCACATATCATTAATGTCAATGTATTGAATACATATATTGAATAGGGAGATGAACATTCATTGGAGATTGTACATAGAATGTAGGTTACAAATGTACCATAATAGGTACATTGAATATAATGAATATTCATTCATGTATTTTATAACACTCTCCCTTGAATATTCATTGTATTCATTATATTATGAATGTGCATTGAATGATATTGCCTCATTAAAAATCTTAAGCCGGAAAAACCCAGTGGGACAAAAACCGGACAAAAGGGAAAAAGAGTACACAACACAAATTTTAAGATCTCTCCCTTTTGTAGATGCATTAATTGCCTTGTTAAAACTTTAAGCCGGAAAAACCCTGTGGGAAAAAATCGGACAGAAAGAAAAAGAGTGCAATGCATAGTTTATAATATCTCCCCCTCAATTTGAGCTATATAGCCACTGCTGGGGCTAGTCAATCTTGCATCTTAAGAACTCGCCGCATACCAATGCCATATATAAATTTCTCAAAAGTTGACGTTGGCAATGATTTGGTAAAAAGATCTGCAAGATTATTTGTGGATTGAATCTGCTTAACATCAATTTGTCGACTTTCTTGGAGTTCGTGAGTATAGAAAAATTTTGGCGAGATATGCTTGGTCCTATCACCTTTGATATATCCTCTCCTAACTTGTGTAACACAAGCATCATTATCTTCACAAATTATAGTGGGAGAATTGGTAACCGGTGTTAAACAACAAGAATTGTAAATATGTGTTATAACGGATCTTAACCAAACACACTCTCTTCCAGCTTCATATAAAGCAATAATCTCAGAGTGGTTGGAAGATGTAGCTACTAGCGATTGCTTCGTAGAACGCCAAGAAATGACGGTGCCGTTATAACAAAATAAATAACCGGTTTGAGAGCGAGCTTTATGTGGATCGGATCTATATCCAGAATCAGTATATCCAACTAAACCAGAGGTAGTGGAATCCTTGGAATAATATAATCTCAAATCTATGGTTCCTCGGAGATAATGAAAAATGTGTTTAACTCCATTCCAGTGTCTTCGAGTTGGCTCAGAACTAAAACGTGCCAATAAATTTACCGCAAAAGCGATATCTGGTCTCGTACATTGTGCCAAGTACATCAAAGCTCCAATTGCATTGAGATATGGTACTTCAGGACCAAGTATCTTTTCATCAGATTCTCTAGGACGAAACGGATCCTTTTGGGGATCTAGAGACCTTACAACCATAGGAGTGCTCAATGGGTGACCCTTGTCCATGTTGAAGCGTTTAAGTAATCTTTCAATGTATGCTGATTGATGGACGATTATTCCATTTGCTTTATGCTCAAGCTCTAGACCAAGACAAAGTTTGGTTTTACCCAAACCTTTAACTTCAAATTCCCTTTTCAAATACTCAGCAGTTTTAGCTAACTCTTCTGGAGTTCCAATTAAATTTATATCGTCGACATAAACTGCTACAATAGCAAATCCGGTTTCTGATTTCTTAATAAACACGCATGGGCAGATAAGATCATTCTTGTTCATTTCCTTAATTAGGTACTCACTTAGGCGTTGATACCACATGCGACCGGATTGCTTTAACCTGTACAAAGATGTTTGCAATTTTATTGAGAATAAGTTGTGGGGAGTGCATGCATCAGGCATTTTGAATCCCTCGGGAATTTTCGTATAAATATCCGAGTCTAATGAGCCATATAGATATGCCGTCACAACGTCCATAAGACGCATTTCCAATCTTTCAGATAGTACCAGGCTAATGAGAAAACGAAATGTAATCATATCCATCACAGGTGAATATGTCTCATCATAATCAATCCCAGGTCTCTGGGAGAATCCTTAGGCAATGAGTCGGGCTTTATACTTGACAACCTCGTTTTTCTTATTTCGTTTCCGGACAAATACCCATTTATATCCAACGGGCTTTACATTATTAGGGATGCGAGTTATGAGTCCAAAAACCTCTCGTTTGGCTAGGGAAGCTAATTCAGCCTTAATTGCTTCCTCCCATTTAGACCAATCTTGCCTTTGACGACATTCAATAATAGATTGCGGCTTACAATCGTCATCCATAATTTTATGAGCAACTGAGAATGCAAAAGCATCATCAATGATGATTTCATTCCGATCCCAAATCTCATTACAATATGTAATGGGATTCTCAGCATTCCTAGGGTTGGTGATCTTTTCATGGGTTTGTGCCTCTTCAGGGGCAATAAGCTCTTTGGGAGCAAGCATAACACCAAGCTCTTCTGGAGCAGATTCCTAATTCTTTCCCCTTCGTTTTTGAGGAACAGTGTCTTTTGATCCTATCGGTCTACCGCGTTTCAAGTGTGGGGGATTTTGATCCATTTTAGCTTTTCCTTCGGGAACAGCTATCCTAGTTGGAGCATTTGCAGCTGGAATATGAGACTCCGTTACCTTAGTAGCATCATTAAATGCGTCAGGAAGTCTATTGGCCATAGCCTGTAAATGGATTATGAGCCACACCTCGTTTTCACACTCAGGAGTTCTTGGGTCTAATAGAGATAAATTTTTCTCATTCCAGGAGAAAACCTTAAGTGGTTTTTGCTTCGTAGCCATGTCAGTTTTAGGTATCCTAATTGATGGAAACATAGTCTCATTGAAATGACAATCTACGAATCTGGCAGTAAAAAGATCACCAGTAGTTGGTTCCAAGAACTTAATGATGGATGGTGAATTAAACCCAACATAAATGCCCAAATGGCGTTGGGGACCCATTTTCATTCTTTTTGGCGGTGCTACAGGCACCTGTACTGCATAACCAAAGGTGAGTAAATGTGAAATACCAGGTTCATAACCAAGAACCATTTGAAGGGGAGATTGTAAGAGACTAGCAGTGGGGCGCAATCTTATTAGGGCTGCCGCATGCAAAGCTGCATGACCCCATGCTATATCGTTGAGATTCGTTCTCAATAATAGAGTGCGGGCAATGATTTGGATATGTTTAATCAAGGATTCTGCTAATCCATTTTGAGTATGAACATATGCGACCGGGTGCTCAACCTCGATTTCGAGTGAAGCACAATAAGTATCAAAACTCTTTGATGTAAATTCACCAGCATTATCCATCCTTATGCTTTTAATTGGATAATCAGGGAATTGTGCCCGGAGCTTTATAATCTGCGCAAGTAAACGTGCAAAGGTGACATTGCGCATAGATAATAAACAAACATGGGACCATCTACAGGATGCGTCCACTAGTACCATAAAATATCGAAACGGTCCACTTGGTGGTTGTATTGGTCCACAAATATCACCCTAAATTCTTTGCAGGAATAAAGGGGATTCAAGATTAACCTTTGTTATAGAAGGTTTGGTAATGAGTTTTCCTTGTGAACAAGCTTCACAATTATAATCTTTGGACAACAATACCTTTGTATCCTTTAAAGGGTGCCCTTTTGTATTCTGAATTATTCTACGCATCATTGAAGCGCCAGGGTGACCAAGGCGATCATGCCATAATCTAAACTGATCAGGGTTTACCAATCTCCAGGATATGGTGGAGTCGGTTTCAACGGCCTTAACATAATACAAACCCATAGAAGAAGCTTGTAGCTTATTATGGATGGTTTTCAGGCCCATCTTATAAGAGGTAATGTCAATATATTCTTTATTTTGCTCATAAATAGTCTCAATATGGTACCCATTACGGCGTACATCTTTGAAGCTAAGCAGATTCCTTTTTGATCTACTGCTTAGAAACACATCCTCAATATGCAGGATGGTGCCTTTTGGCAAAACAATTGTGGCATTCCCGAAACCATCAATAATCGGAATAGGACTTGATATTGTATGGACATGTGTCTTATGCAATGTCATACTCGAGAAAAAGTGTCTACTATGAAATATGGTATGTGTTGATGCACTATCAAGCAAACAAACATCTTCCTTTTTCTCGGTATTTTCCATTTGCATTTATGTTGACAACTTCAGGTGTCAAGCATCATAAAATTTTCATATTAGTTATAGGGTCAAATAAAATTTCAAAATAATAAATATTATATCAGGTTCATAAGCATTTCATTGCATAACCATATTAAAGAACAATAAAATGTAATACATTTAAAGAAAAGCAACTAGAAAAGAAATTATTAGAATCATAAAATTCGAAGTCTAAGTTGTCATCCACCAGTTTGATTCTTCATCAAAGTAATCAGAGGTCCTCAAAGAAATCAGAGACATCCAGGGATGCATTTGCTACTTCAGGAGCAAGAGGAGTCCCACCAACAGAGATATTGTTGGCCTCAACAATGGTTATGGCAGTAGGATTAATTTCAATGGCGTGAGATTCACCACCCTTGCCCCTATTTTTTAAAGATGCCTGGTATAGATCAACAAAGTGCTTTGGCGTATGACAAGTACGTGACCAGTGCCCAGTCATGCCACATCGATGGCAAATACTTTCATTAGTCACCTCTTTTGCTTCTTTTCTTTGTCATGATTCGGGCCAAAGTTAGATTTCCTAGGACGGTTAAATTTCTTGCCACCCCTTCGAGGATTATGTTCTTGCCTGCGCTTATAGCCCTTAAAATGGCCAGTATTTTTCTCAGAGTTAGGATGTGCTTCAGGCAATGCTTTTGACCAAGCGGGTCTAAGATCATGATTTTTGAGCAGCAATTCATTAGTTTGCTCAGCAGTGAGGAGCCTAGAAATTAATTCAGAGTATGTGGCAAATTGACGCTGCCGGTATTGCTGTTGCAATACAATATTCGAAGCATGGAAGGTGGGGAAAGTTTTCTCTAACAGTTCCGCATCAGTGAGCTTGATACCGCATAACTCAAGCCGAGAAACAATATCAAATAAAGCGGAGTTATAGTCAGACACTGATTTAAAATCTTGCAGTCTGAGATTTTGCCAGTCATATTGTGCTTGAGGGAGGATAACAGTCTTGGTATGATCATACCTATCCTTCAACCTCTTCCACAGGCTCTGAGGGTCTCGAACGGATAAATATTGAGTCTGCAGGCTCTCATGCAAATGATGACGAATAAAAATCAGTGCATTTGCTTTATCTTTTGCATTTGAGGTTCCGTCTTTTGTAATTACATTAGCGAGACCTTGCCCTTGGAGGTGCATTTCCATGTCAAGGCACCAGGATAGATAATTATTTTCACTCACTTCCAGGATGTGGAATTTGGGCTTTTTCAATATTTGCCATAATTCTTGCAAAACAAATGAATCCTTAAATTAATTAGAACGATTTCCAAATATCCACCACCACTTCAGGAGTAAAAGGATACTTTTTAGATTGGAAATTGGCTTCAGGCCAAGAAAAATAAAAATGAAGAATTGATAGGAGAAGATGAAGTATAAGTTGATTAATGAAAACAAAGAGAACACTTACCTTGCAAAAATTATTTACTTAGTTGGTAGATCTTCGTGCAGATAACTTGTTGTAAAATATTGCATTGCAATTCCTTACCAAAAAAAAAAAATATTGCATTGCAAGTATATAATAGAGAGAATAGAGATTAAGTAGAGAATGCAGATAAACACCAAAGATATATATTTTTCTCTTTTCATTATGTTCTCATTTCTTATCCAATGACCAAAACTAAACTCCTATTTATAAGAAAACAAGAATGCACATATCATTAATGTCAATGTATTGAATACATACATTGAATAGGGAGATGAACATTCATTGGAGATTGTATGTAGAATGTAGGTTACAAATGTACCATAATAGGTACATTGAATATAATAAATATTCATTCATGTATTTCATAACAATTTTCATATTTTTAAATTTCTGACTTTTTAATTTTAATTTTAATTTTTTAAAATTATTTTTCTTTTCTTTTTTTTTCTTCTTCCTCTGCCGGTGGCCCGCCACAGCAATGGCCGGAGGCCGGCCACAGGTGGGGAAGAAGAAAAAAGAAAAAAAGAAAAGGAAAAAGGAAAAGAAAAAAAGAAAAAGAAAAGAAAATTAATTAAAATATTATTTGCAAAAATAAAAATAAAAAATTATTAAAAAAACATTTTCGTTTTCTTGAAAACATTTTCTAGAAATGTCATATTTTCCGAGAGACAAATAGAGCCTCAATTTTTTTTAAAAAAAAATATAAATTGTTCACTAGATTTGTATTGCATTAAAATATTTTAGCAATACAAATTTTTTTAAATAATTATCAGAATTAAGCTTTTCTAGATTTGATTAAATGGGTCGGGTCAAGTATGGGTCGAGAAATTTGCTTTGTGATAAATGGATCATAAACAGGTTAAATGAGTCAAGTTGGGTCGGACCATTTATGACCCGACCCAAACTCAACTCGACCCACCCATTTAACAGGTTTAATGTCAAGATAGCATAATAGTTGTTTAGAATCCTAGTTTTAAAAAGTACATCCTTATGCTGCCAGTTTGAATAGTCGAAAAAATGCATGTTCTAAGGCTACGATAATGCCGAGATGAAATCTCTAGTCTTAGAATATGTCGATATGCTGCCCAGTTGAATAGTCAAAAGAGGTATAATTTCTTAAGAGGTGTATGGTGCTATTCAAATTTCTTCCTTCTTTTGAGTAGTTATTTAATGGAGGAGGTATTTAAGTGATATAATTTTCTTCGATGTCATTTCGGTAATCCACTATTGCCTTCTCGTTTTGTCCACTTTGCACATTGATAGTTGTTTTCCTCACATGCTACTATGTTATGCATTAGAAGCTTTGCACGTTAGGTAAGTCTTATCAAAATATTATACGCTAGAAACTTTGCATAACGTAATTGTGTGTGAGCAATTTTTACAAAGAAGTTATTTCAATTCTGATTGTGCGTTGATAGTCTTTTAAAGAGTATCCAGGTAAAATAATAGGAAATATCCCATTAAAATAAGAGAAAATTATATACGACTTCTTAAATGTAATATCAATTGCGCGTTTGCCCTTTTAATACCATTTAGTAAACTCTAATGAGAGTATTTTGAAAAGAGAAAAGAGAAAATATTTCTGAAAATAAAAACCCCCTTCATGTCACATAATAAATGTGTACACTTAGGAAGGTCATTGACTCATTTCTTCTATAAACAGACTAGTCTTTATTGTCAAAAAGGATAGGGACAGGCGATCAACACTCATGACCCTTTATTAACGTTACTATAAAAAGTCCTACAACCACTATGAAAAATTCCAAATCGATCCATAGTGCGAAACCCAAAGGTACGAGGTTTTTTAATAAATATACTAGCAGTCAGGAAGTCTCTCCACACGAGATATGTCGCAGCTAGGCCACGCAACACGAGCCGTTTATAGATTATGTGACCCATTTATCGCTAAGTCAACCTCCTTGGTGATGATTTCATATATACCCCGTAGGCATCGGTAATATTATTTGTTTTCAAAAAATTATGAGAAACTTATAAGTGAACTTTCATTTGTATGTGTGTGCGCGGGGCAAAAGTTTCAAATATTTCAAATTCGATTGGATACATGTACTCCATGAGATTTAAATTTTAAAAAAAAAATGTAAGAACGAAAAGTTTATGGATAATGACAAAAATGGTCCCTGAAATTTGGCCTAATGTACAATGTGGTCCCCGAACTTTTGGTACAAGTTCAATTTAGTCATGAACTATAAGCTAATGTTCAATGTTATCCTACAATTAATTCGAGTTCATAGACAACATGGAGCATTTTAAAAATTTAGGGACTATATTATATATTGAGCTAAAGTTTATCAATCATATTGTATATTAAGCTAAAGTTTAATGAACATTTATGTCACTTTTCCAAAATTTATCGGTATGGTCAAAACCACTTCGATAATATCACGTGGGCCCGCCCGCCCTCCTTGGATGGTCGTCTCTGGAGAACACGTCTGATTCGAAAGCTCAATGTCAAATCCAACGGCTCCAAACCCCTCGACACCCCCCACGTTTGTTTAATCCAACATTGCCCTCGACCCCCTCCCCTTCTATATTCCCTCTTCTCTCTCTCTCTCTCTCTCTCCGCGCAACTTCTTCCTCCGCTTTCTCAACGGCTGTCCGGCGCCGACGTATCGGAGACGCCGCCGCCGCCGGCCAGATCTCTCCCCGCCTCGCCCCCTCGGCTCCCGATCTGGTATCCTCCGCGACAATTCCGCCCGGCGCGACGGCGAGATCTCCATCTCGCTGTCGCTCCGGTTCCCGATTTGGAACCCGGCTCGATGGGTGTGTTCGATTGGGCCTGGTTCGCTCACGTAGCATCTTGGTCGGTTTCTTTCCTTTATAGGTTCTTGTCTGCCTGAGGTCGGGCGCGTCGAGCGGTGTTGTTGAGTACGAGGAATGGCTGTCGCGCCGGCGCGGGCTCGGGCCGATTACGACTACCTCATAAAGCTCCTCCTGATCGGCGATAGCGGTATGCCCTGCCCTTCGATTTTTTCCCCCTTTCTCTTCTGGGGCTTTTGCGCTTGCGCGCGAGAAATGGATTCGGTGGTTCCCGTAACCAGAACCCGATCTCGTCGTTGTCTCTCAGTTGTAATCCGGCTCGAATTTGGAGTTCTCGTGGTCCGAACTGGGCATTGGGCTATGTTTGATTGGTTAGCTGGTGTTGTCGAATTCGAAGTTAGGGAAAAGAGTCGATGATAATCTCGTATCGTTGTTCTGTACGATCTTTCTTCATTGGGTTCGGGACCCGGAGCCGAACCCCTGCTAAGTTTGGGGATTTCGACTGAAATGCTGAGGAAGATAGTGGTAGGGTGAGCTCATCTTGTTTTTTGATGGCATAAAGACTGCACTGGCATATACTTTAGCGAGGTTTAAGTGGCTTGGTACCTTAGACTAATAGGGAGGCTTTGTAGATTGTCGTATGATCTCTTGGTGGATTGGAGACCATTTGGATTGTTGTTTTGGGACTACTTTGGTTATCTATACTGCTTGTTTTGCTAGTATGTTGAGTGAAAAGTTCTCTTTAATGGTCTTAACATTATATTTGTTAAAGACTGACATGTTAAGCTACCATACAAGGAATAATCGCAATATCTAATGTATTGTCTTATTTCGTCATTGCTTTGAAGATTAAAACTTTCCTTTCTAAATATGGTTAACCAGTTCTGATAGGCACTCGTTAATGTGATCATCTTCATATTATACATATTTTCAAGGTGGAAAGGAAGTTTTTAAGGAGTTGAATGTGGGAAAAAGTAATTTATGTAATACTCATACGACATTGTATGCGGACGTGACATCACCAACTAGCAAAGTGCTACTACGCTATCCTTCATAGCAAAACAACATTTATTACCGTCCCTTGTAAAGGAGAACGACATATGAATACAAACATTTGATTGATTAAGCGTGTGATATGTTATCCCCTTTGTACATGTACAAACTGTTTTTTTTCGAAATATTGTAATTTGTGAGTTAATGCTTCAATTACTTGTCAATTCTGAAATGGACTAGCAGTGATCATCTCATATCTCCTTCTCTTCTGGCATTACTTATGGCAGGTGTCGGTAAGAGTTGCCTCCTCTTGCGCTTTTCAGATGGTTCCTTTACTACCAGCTTTATAACAACTATTGGGTGGGTCTATCAGAAACAAATTTTGTTTCAGTTCTGATGTTGAGAAGCGCAACTAATCGTAGTAGCTTGTCTTTTTAATTCGCAGGATCGATTTCAAGATCAGGACTATAGAGCTAGATGGAAAACGAATTAAATTGCAAATTTGGGATACTGCTGGACAAGAGAGGTTCCGAACAATTACAACTGGTCAGTGTCTGGCTTCAAATACAGTTGGGCCATGGGGTGGCGAATGTTTAACTCATAAGTTGGATCAATGTTTATTTACCCAATAAAGTAAATGTTGGCCAGTAAAAGGAAAAGCTAATAATATGGATGGGTAATAGTTCCTTCACCAGTTTTTTTCCAATTGCTTTCTGTGGAAGTTTTAAAAATATCAGGATTTCTTTTTCTATTTGATTTTGAGAGTACATACATACTTACGTAGTGCTTCGTCCTTGGCATTTCACTTCATGTCATAACATAATAGTTGGTTATGTTTTGAATTGCTTTCAAGAGTTGCCTTCTCAATATTGAAGAGTGAGTTCATAAAATCTTAGCTTATACTTGAGAACTTTATATGCAGGAGTACAGCTTATGCCTTGTATGTAATTAGGTCCTTACTGATCGCGCTTTGATCAGAAAAATTTTGTGTAACAACTTCTCTCTTTATGGCTGTCCATATCTGCCAGCCTGAGTGATTGTTGAAGTTGGTAACCGGATTATCTTTGTGTTGCAGCTTACTACCGTGGGGCCATGGGTATACTCCTTGTGTATGATGTGACTGACGAATCATCTTTCAACAGTAATTGGTTCTCCCTCATCAGTTATCTCTTGCATAGTTGTTTCTTTCTCTTTCATGTTTGAAAATTAGGTTAACATAATTGTGTCAATTTGGAGTACAGTCCTGTTCTGATCCAGGATTTATTTGTCTTTTGCACACCCTATTCCTTTAGGTTGATTCAGTTTATCTCTTCCTTCAGATATCAGAAATTGGATCCGTAACATTGAACAGCATGCTTCTGATAATGTGAACAAGATACTTGTCGGTAACAAGGCTGATATGGATGAGAGCAAAAGGGTATGTCATATCCCTGCATCATGGATGCCTCCATGTTGTTATACATTCATCTGCTGGTCATTTTTGTTGATATTTGTTAGTACTTGATGGGTCCTTCTCCTTTTGCAGGCTGTTCCTACCTCAAAGGGCCAAGCACTGGCCGATGAATATGGTATCAAGTTCTTTGAGACTGTAAGTACAGTTGGCTTTCTCTTATTGAAATTTTTACTAGATTTTGTTACTTCCTGTCAGTGCTGAGTATGTCTTCTATTTCAGAGTGCCAAGACAAACTTGAATGTAGAGGAGGTTTTCTTTTCAATAGCGAGAGCTATCAAGCAAAGGCTTGCAGAAAACGACACAAGATCTGAGGTACGTGTTTTCTATATCACGATTAAAGCTTGTGATTTTCAGTGCTTATCAAGTTTTTTTGCTCATTAAAATAGATTGTGCCAGGGACCACAGTCATAGCTTTTCTTACGGAACATCTCATTCTTCATGCAGTGGGTAAATAAGTAGTACTGCATAATTAGTAAAGAGCTGACCAGATTAACCTGTTCTGCCGACAAGTATTATCACGGCTTTCCACAGATGTCTCTTGCCTCGCGAATAAATTTTTGTATTAACCTCTGGTGCACGGTCTTTGTATCGTGTTTTTTTAAACAAGCCACCTCCATCACCGTTGATATAGGTAGTTATTTTTTTAAGAACTAACTAACCATCCAAATCAATGGTGATAAAGTTGGCTTGTTTTAAAAAAGGTGACACAGCGTGTACCATAAAGAAGACCTAGATTTGAAGGCCAAATCTAGCTTTGTGTGCAAAACTGTCCTCTTCAATAGGTTTTTCAATACCTATACATGTGTTAACAAACTCTATTTTGCCAACAAGATACAGCTCAAATGCTTTTAAAATTTTTCTATCGGATATTCTGTGCGCGCGCGCTTTGTTGGGCTGGAGGGGCATTTTAGGTTGGCACTTGAAGTTTCTTGAAAATTTTCCTCTGAGAGTACCGGAAAAGGAGGAAAAAGAGTCTAATTTCTTTCTGCAGATATCAATTATCTGTTCCCGATTCTTGACCTCTTTGCTGTTTGGTCAAACTATTGCAGCCTCAAGCAGCAATTAGGATCAATCAGCCTGATCAGGCATCAGGGTCCTCTCAAGCGCCGCAGAGATCTGCTTGCTGCGGTTCTTAAGCAAGTTTTGCTCAAGTCACTGCAGTAGTGGGGAAAATTGATTTTGTTATATATCCGGTTGCTCCCATTGTTCTCGCTATACTACCTCACTAAATGCTGCTTTTTGTGTGGATGGTAGATCTGTCAACATCCAATAGAAGAATGAATTCTTGGGCAACTGTAATATGAGGAACTAATTATGTGCAGATTCCTGCTGGGATTTTATCTCATTAAGTTTGACATCACCTTATCAACTCTACTGTATTTTTTCCTGGAAAAGGTTGCTATGATATTCTGGTAAGTTTTAAGCCACAAATTAGTCTCATTTGCCCTTCAAAGTGAAGCTCTTTATAGATGCTGAAATTCCTTTTGAGGTGCTAATGCTCACGGCTCTGTTTTGCTTTGCTACGACTCTCACGGAGTTCCTTTTTTCTTTTGTATGCTCTATCGTCCTTGGTTTTTTTCTTTTAAAGTGCATTTACTAATTAATGATAAGTGTGCCGCTGACTGAAGGTGAGATATGATGTATTTGTTGAAAAGAAAAGGGGGGTAACTCCATTCTACTTGGTAAAGAGGGTTAGGATTCTATGGAGTACTGTACATCTGATTGGTGTGGATTATAGTATTTGGTATCATCGGATTGCAATCCCATTTCTTCCTTGACATTCCAAGATATGAAGCAGCTTTTTACTGCGAAAGTTGGGAAAGCACTTGCATTAAGTTTCGGTTTGATGCAGATGAAACTCTTCACGGCAGTTCCAATTGTGTACTCGGGCTCTTTAGCTAGTGCCTTACGCTGGGTGAACGGCTTCAAGTTCTTTTTGGGTCATCACTAGTGCTTTCTCCTATGTGTGGTGAAGATGCTAGATTAACAAAACATGAAATGCTCAGATTTTTTTCTATGAGCTTATTGTCTTAGTCATTGATTTGAATTTCGAAGTCGTATGATCGCAATTGATCGTCTTTGACTTTCGAACTGACCTACTGTCTGGTATGATGGCAAATGATTAAGGAGAACCCAGCTTCCTTTTTGATTCATTACATGTAACGTGGGGGTTTCTTTGCCATAACTTCTAATTAGGAAGAGCTCTCAGCTTCTTCATCACACTTTCCCTCACTTCCGTACGTGGTGAGCGATGTACTTTAGTGGTGGTTTATTGATGTAATTACATCGTCAACTGGAGTCCCCCATTCATTAGCTTAGTATACAGGGGAAATCTCTCAAAGTGCTACCTAGTGAAAGTGTCCCAATTAGATACATCTACACTGCAATGCAGGGGGACAAACTTCCTAGTTTTAGTGACAGTCGACTGTAGAAATGGACACGGGTCGGTGCCCCAATCCGGGGCAAATTTTATCCACAAGATAAAAAAATGGAAGGGAGAAAATCGGGGAGACGGGGATCCGCCCCACCAATAAATGTGTACAAAAAGTATGTTTCATATATGTTATATACAAAAATATTCTTTAAGCATTTTATTATGTATCTCACCTATTTTAGTTTTAATTTAACGGGTTAAGAATTACAAAATTACTACTTGCTTGCTTAAGAGTTGAAAATGAGAGGTTTTATCTTTTATAGAATATGCTAACTCATAATTTTAATTGTTCAACCAACGTGGGACAAGGCTTTTGAGTTTATGTGCAAGCACAATTCTTAATTACTATAATATGCAATGCAAACTAGGAAGGTTCTCTAGGTAAGTAGAGTGGGACAATTGTGTTTCATGTGTTCTATCTCAATTTGTTCCACATAGATTAGTTTGTGAAGTTTGGAGTTTACTTGACTCTATAAAACGAAAACAATACCAAAAAACCCTAGATTTATTATATGGATGTCAATTCAGTCATAAACCTTTCAATTTAGCCAATTTAATCATTAACATTTTAATGATTTGCCAATATAGCTCTTCCGGCTAATTTTGAATGGAAATTGTTGATGTGAATGTTGGCCGTTTTACGTGGCACGGCCGGTGCTAACGCAGACAATTTTTTCAATTTTTAATAGTTTTTTTCAATTTTTTTCCTTTTCTTTTCTTTTCTCTTTTTCTTTTTTTTTCCTTATTTCCCTTAGCCGGTCTGCAGCCATGGTAGTGGCCGATGAAGGTCACCAGATCAGGGCGAGGGCCGCAACGCCCTTGCCTAGGCCCTTCTCGACATAAGCAAAGGCCCACGAGCCCTCGCCCAATGGCCGACCAGGGCTGTGACGCCCTGGTTGTGGCCAGCAAGGGCCGCAATGCTCTCGCCGACCATCGTACTAAAAAGAAAAAAAAAAGAAAAGGAAAAAAAGAAAAAATTCAAAAAATTGATTAAAAATTGCAAAAATTGCTTGCCTTAGCTCTGCCCATGCCACGTAAGATGACTAGCGTCCACATAAGCGATTTCCAGCCAAAATTAGCTAGAAGCACTACATTGGCAAATTGTCAAAAGATTTATGATTAAATTGACCAAATTAAATTGAGGAATACGGTGAGTTCACGTGGTAGTGGAAGCAGTTATTTGACTTCTTCAAGTTTTGGAAGTTCTCATTCCCGAATCTAGATTTAGATCTAGGAGCTCTTCTCTCCTAATCTAGATTTAGATTTGAGAGTTCCTTAAATGTGTTTCTATGCTCGTTCAATCTCTCCTGATTTAGATCTAAGTTTGGGAGCCTGTTCATCATTTTTTTGTTGTCTCTGCACGGTGACGGCGTTGAAGATGTTGAAACTAAGCATGCACCGACCACTGGGCAAACCACAACTATTGGAGGAGATTATGGTGTGTGTTCATCACTTATGATGATGTGATATTCTGTGATCGATCGTCATTCGTTTTGCTTTAATGCTCAGACAGATTTATTCTTGTGGGATGATGATGCGGAATCTATTAGTGGTGCGTTTCTGGACCAATTGGACAGGCAGAAGTCCAAAAGAAAGGCGAAACGGTGATGCGACTAGAACCGGCGGACCCGGTCAACGACATCGGATTGAGCTCAAATTCGGTCTGTTAAAGCGAAACGGCGTTCTGAACACAACTCACTGCCTTTGGCTGTGATCTACGATGGATTTTGGCGATTCGAGATCGTTTAGATGGGTTTTTCTATTATTTTAATATTTTTTATGAGTTAATTTAAAAAGGCAGTTTCCTAATTTTGATGTTTTACGCTTTCCAATTTTAGTAGGGTTATAATTAAAAAAAAAGGCAATTTCCTAATTTTGATGTTTTACGCTTTCCAATTTTAGTAAGGTTATGTTATAGGTACATAAGCTTGTTTAAGGGTTTGTTTTGACATTCAGAACATTATCATTAATATTGAATTTCGAGATTTCTTTCTCTAAGCAAGGTTTTGCTTGAATTAGTTGCTGAACGCTGCGTCAGGTAGTATCAGAGCCAATGGCGACTGGTGGTGGTCTTCGTGACGATGCTCAGGAGACTGGAGCCCCAACCCTTGGGGACGACGCGCTGCAACGTTTGGAGCAGCGTTTAATGGAACGCTTGGATCAACGACTCGATCAAAGTCTTCGTCGTTTCGAAGAACGATTTGACGAGTTAACAGATCGGTTCGAAGGTCTCGGCGTTGATGTGAACCGGAATCGGCGGAACGACAGAAGGCCGGGTGCAGATCTTGCTCGCGGTGATCCTGTTGATAGGCCTGTTCCTGTCCGCAGGTTGCATAACCCTCTGTTTTCAGAGAGTTTGGAAGAAGAAGAAAACGATTATTTTGATGCGGAACGCGCTGATTATGGCGGCAGACGTCGTCATGGAGGATTTCAAAGAGGATATGATCAGAGAGATGGAAGACGACGTTACGACGATCGTGAAGGTAATGACTTTAAATTGAAAGTCGATATTCCTTATTTTAATGGAAGTCTGGGCGTAGAAGAATTTCTGGATTGGCTTGCTGATATAGATAGATTTTTCGATTATATGGAGACCCCTGGTGAGAAAAGGGTGCGATTAGTAGCCTGTAGATTAAAGGGGGGTGCGTCTGCATGGTGGGAGAGATTGCAGAATAAGAGGGAGCGAGAAGGGAAAGATAGAGTTCGAACTTGGACTAGAATGAGGAGGCTGTTGAAGCAGGAATTCCTTCCACTCGATTATAAACAGATTATGTTCCAACAGTACCAACATTGCCAGCGGGGCAATCGGACTGTGCATGAGTATACAGCCGAATTTATGAGATTGGCGGAGCGAAATAATTTATCAGAGACGGAGGGACAGCAGGTGGCCAGATATCTTGATGGTTTGAAACCCTTCATTAGAGATAAAATAGGAGTACAGTTTCTGCAAAATTTAACTGAAGCCAAGAATATGGCGATGAAGACAGAATTGATGTAGCAAGACAGGGGAAGAAGAGGCTACAAAAATTATCGAGGTAGCAGTTCGAGCAGTTCAGTAGAGAAGAGCAGTTTCAATAATCGCTTTAACGCAGGGCGAAATCAGGAATATAAGGCGGTAGAAAAGCGCCCTATGAACAATGCGAGGGATAAGGGAACGCAAGCACAGAAAACTGCGAACCCTAACCCTTATGCTAAACCAGCAGCGATAAAGTGTTACAGGTGTAATCAGCCTGGGCACCGATCTAATGAATGCCCTCAGAGAAAGACCGTAAACGTAGCAGCGAGAGAAGAGGAGGAGGATGGATATTGCTGTGCGCTGGATGGTGAGGACGATGATTTTGAAGATGAAGAAGAGGAGCAAGTAAACTGTGTGGTGCGTAGAATGATATTAGCTCCAAAACAGGAAGATGATTCGCAACGCCATCAGTTATTCCGAACCAGGTGCACCATTCTGGGAAAGATCTTTGCTGTGGTTATTGATAGTGGAAGCATGGAGAATATCATTGGGAAGGAGGCAGTGAAGAAGTTGGGAATACCCGTGGAGAAGCATCCTAGTCCCTATACGTTATGATGGATTAAATCTGGAGCGGAAAGCATTCAGGTGATTGAACGATGCAAAATTCCATTCTCCATTGGAAAATATCATGATGAGCTGTATTGTGATGTAGTAGATATGGATATATGTCATGTGTTATTTGGGAGACCGTGGCAATTTGATGTAGATGCTCAGCATTCGGGAATGAGCAATCAGTATAACCTCGTGAAGGATGGAGTGAAGTATACGTTACTGCCACTGAAGAACAAAGGAAAACAATCTGCTGAAAGTAATTTCCTTACCCTTACGAGGAAATTTGAAGCTGAGGTTAAGGAGACCCGACAGATTCACGTGCTAGTCGTGAAACAAGCAATTGAGACTGAGGCTGAATTATAAGTGGAGGAGCAGCCTGAAGCAATCAGGCCTTTATTGAAGGAATTTAGCGAACTGATGC